CACCACTGCACTTGAGGATTGCACAATTTGGCTCTTTGGGTTTGATATAAGCAGTAACTGTTGTGAAGCTAACACTTTTTTTTTTAAATCTGAAAAAATATTACAGTTTTGAAGGCAGGTCAAATGCTGGAATCCTCAAAATATTTGTTTCTCTCTTCTTAACATCTCAATAGATTTAGAAGGTTGAGATTACATTTCTGCTAAATTCCCTGGGTTTATGTTTTTTTACCATAATCTCAGTCAGTCTCTCTGTTCTTCCTGTTCCTTTTCTATTTAATCTATTCCACTTTACTTCACAAGGTGTCTTCCTTTGATCCCATAATAAGATAGTGACCTTGCGATTTAATTCTCACTTGACCCTTTGGTCCCTTTTGGGTATTTCTGCCTGCAGCATAACCTTTTCAGTCTGTCAAACTTTCATTTTTTCCTCATTTTCCTCCCCCTCTGCCTCCACTTTCATCTTTCTCTACATCTTGATCTTTTTCTTGCTTTCATTATTCTTTTTTGCTTGGGAAATGCAGTTTTAACCTGTTCTCTGCTAGCCCACCATGGCAGCTACAGTGAATAACAAAATCAATGGAATGTTGCAACAAAGCTGGCTCATTCAGTAGCACAGTAGGTGTTTCCTACTAAGAAAGGTAGAGATTGACAGAAAGCTTTTCAATTGTTTTTAAAAATGATCATCTCTTTTTTTATGTTGGTTAAGAAAAAAGAAAGTAGTAGCATTCAGACGCCTTATTTGGCCTGTGTTAAACTGAAGACAGCAAATAGAAGCGGAGTCATATAGTGATTACTTAACAATGACGAAAATGGCTGGGAATGGAAAGCAGATTTGTATTAGAGATGGGAATGTGACAACAGAGGCAGATGGAGAATAGTAGGGTTAAGAGGAGTTAAGATTCAAGAGGGCATTTCTGTCTTTTGGCCAAAAAAGTGTGACTCCGCTGACAATTCCATACAAATAAAATTAAATAGGACATCCAACCTAACGTGGAAGGTCTTCATCTCTCCATAAGGTCATCTTGCCCTATCATTGCCACTCTCCTCTAATCCTAGGTTTCTAATGCAGATCCCTCTTGGTCTCTGGTCTACGCATCCTTATCAGAAATTGTTTGTAACGGGGACATGCCAGGGTGCAATCCAGACAAACGAGCAACTGTTGTCACCTCTGCAACCGTGGGCGTCTTACAATGCTTTGTTGAAATAGCTCCCACCAGGGACCACTCACAGCCTTCCACCATGCAAACCACACCCTGGCCTCAGAGTAACTGCAGCCTGCCAGCCACACTTGGGCCGAGGAGCTGACAGCTTCTGCCGGCCCCCCCGAGGAAGGTGTGGGAAGGGACCCGAGGCAGAAGGGGCAGGGCTGGCTGGCAGGGCATGGACCGTGGCGCTGGGCACTCCCTCAGCACTCACAGCTGCACGGAGTGTGCAGAGTGGCGCTCTGGTGGTGATTTAAAGGGCCTGAGGCTCCAGCCACTGCCACAGTAGCAGTGGTGGCATCAGGGAGCCCCAGACCCCTTTGAATCAGGCCCCTGGGCAACCGCCCTCTTCTCACCCCCACTCTTCCTCTTGCACTAAGGTTACATTGTGGCTCAGTTATAAATATAATGCAGAGTGATCCCAACACATCCCCAGTCCCAGAGTTTCCCTCAGAAATGTACGCCCTATACTGCTCAGCCCTCTTGTTATCAGGTTTCAAGGCTGGTAGTTGACAAGGTTGAATACGGTTTCCTTTTTAGCTGGCAAAAAAGGACTAGCCCACCAGCCAGAAAAGTTGACTTGGGCATGAACCGTCTGGCTGGTTCTCCTGGAGGTATCATTCAGCACAAGCAGCTCAGATTCTGACAGGGCATAAATCCTCCCTAACGGTGTTTTTGCTCCTGGCTGCAGTTTTATGGGGCACTGTGGTTTATCCTTATTCTACCAAGTTTCTGTGATACCTATTAGATCCACATCCCCATTTAACTCCAGTTCGCCCACCTTATTGTTTAGACTTCTAACATTTGTCCCCTTTGACGTTCAGACTATATTTCCTTTTTTTTTTTTTTTTTGTACATTGGAGGATAGGAAGTCTTGAGCTGACAATGTTAACACATTCAGGGGCAGGGGTAACACAGAGCATAGTAATGAACTAAGAGTTCATAAGAGTAAACTATCTCCCAGGGGCACTATGAGAATTACTCAATATTTGTTTGATGCTTTAAGATCCTCACTTGAAAGGATACTGTAAATATATTTTCCAAATCTCTCTATTCTTGAAAATTGTTCTTCAACACCTGTATTCAAAAAGTAAAGATGCATATGTATGGAATCTGGAATGTGCAAACCCACAAAGAAGCTGCTGGTTACATTCAAACTAGGGGTGAAAAATCCTATTTAAAATATTAACTGGTTAAACTATTTATTTAACCAGTTAACCAGTCCACTGTGGAGCGGGCAGGGGGCCACTGGAGCTGTCTGCCACCCATAGCACAGTCAACGCAGCTGGGTCAGGCAGGGTCTGCCACACTGCACTGTGGGCGGGGGGAGGGGAGAGGTTGTTCCAGCTGGGCTAGGTGCTGGTTAACTGGTTATTCTGGTAAGCATGCCAGAAAGGCAGTGCTTACTGGGTAACTGGTTACCCTTTATATCCCTAATTCAAGCAGTAAAATTTGTGTGACATACCATTATACAGATGCTGTCATGCACAGTTGTCAGCAAAGATATATTTATATCTATGCCAGTAACACAGTTAGGGTTAGGGATGAGTTAAATTACCTTGATTAAGAGGCAAAGTATTTCTTATACCAAAAGGTACTACTTTGATCACAAAAGAGACAGTGGTGATGAAAGCAAACAAATGTCCCATGGAAGTGTTTGAAGCAAACTGCAGGCCCTTGATCAAAGCAGAGGTAATTTAATTATTTGTCTCCCTGACTGAAGTTCTTTGATGTGGCACTGTCTGACAATGTATGAGGATGCTTTATGTTCCTGATTAGTCTAATCTGAAAACCCAATGCCCAGAAGGGTTTGTCCTATAATCAAAATAGACCTCTTGGGGAGAAAAGTGAAAGCAGAAGCTTAAAGAGCCATATCCAGGGAGCAACAGCCTGTTGATATAACCATGCCAGATAATCATGGTCTAACGTGGCCAAAAGGTCTGTAGAGCAATGCTGTTGGATACTAGCATTTCAACAGTGTTGTATCTCCATCTGTGAAGACTGTGGGCATGTCTAGATACATCCCTCTTTCAAAAGAGGGATGTAATTTAGGCAGATCGAAACTGCAAATGAAGCAGGATTTGAATTTCCCGCTTCATTTGCATAATGGCGGTCGCATAGTCTTTCAAAAATGGACTTTTCAAAAGTAAAACTGCTGTCTAGACGTGGTTCTTTAGGAAAAAAACCCCTTTTTCAAAAGAACCTGTAAACCTCATTTTTTCAGGCATTACGGTTCTTTCGAAAATGGGTTTTTCCCCGAAAGAACTATGTCTAGACAGCGGTTTTACTTTCAAAAAGCCCTTTTTCGAAAGAACGCATGGCCGCCATTATGCAAATGAAGCATCAGAAATTCAAATCCCGGCTTCATTTGCAATTTCAATCTGTCTAATTTACAACCCTCTTTCGATATTTAAGAACAGGTTCGATAGACATCTGTCAGGGATGGTGTAGACGGAGCTTGATCCTGCCTTGAGGGCGGGGGGCTGGTCTCGATGACCTCTCGAGGTCCCTTCCAGTCCTATTATTCTATGATTCTATGATTCTATGAAAGAGGGATGTAGTTTAGACATAGCCTGTCCTACATTACGGCAATTCTTAGCAGCTGTACTGAGCACTCCATCCCCTGTGGGTGATCCCGACAATTTTCCAGTATGGCCCCCCTCTCTGATGCATTGCAGCCTTCAGATTTTCTACCAGTTTGAGAACCCCTTGGGTGATATTGTGGGCTGATAGGCATTGTGAGACTTTTCTAGCTCTAGCCTGGGAGTTCTTTCAGCTCAACCTTCAAAAACCACATAGAACAAAGCATTCAGAGGGGCAGATTTGCACAAATGCTGCTGACTGTTCGAGAAATATGGTAGTTCCACAGGCCCAACCAGTTTCAGCCTTGAACTTTTAGCCAGAGTTTCTGACTTTCCAGTTCTGTCTCCTGCTGTCTTTTCGCCTGTACTCTGCCATGTCTGGCTTTTCTGGATAACTCACTGCCAAATTAAAAAATAAAAACAACAAATTTGCTTCTCATACCTACAAAGGGACTCTGCTCTTCCAAGTGTTACAAGGCAGACAGCTCCAGGCAGCAACTGAATGCTCTCTAGTACTGCAGCTCATTTTATATGGCCCTGCTGGGCCCTGATTGGCAACTCCCTGCAGTTTCTCTACAGTTGGCTGCTTCTCCTGTAGCCATTTTAGGGAGCCTAAAGGACTTCTCTATTGCTCCTTGGACAAGGTGTGGCAGGACAGTGGGGCCTCCAGCAAAGTCCTCTGGGCCTAAACCACAACATCACACATAAAAAAGGAGAATAACTGAATCTTCAACCTCTCTGGGCTCAGGAGGCAAGCTTTTTCCTCTGGGAAAGGTTTCTATAACATTCTTCTTCAGAAGTTCTCAGAATAGGTCTTGCTCCCTTCCCAGTCTGTCTCCCTTTTAAATGCCATGGCGTCTACACTGGCGGTTTCTTGTGCCAGAAATATGCAAATGAGGCTAAGCGTGGAATATCGCCGAGCCTCATTTGCATATCTAATGAGCTGCCATTTTGCAGAAGAGGCTCTTGTGCCAGAAGGAGCGTCTACACTGCCCCTTCTTGCACAAGAAAAACCCTCTTGCGTAATGCCGTTATTCCTGAAAATAATCTTCGTAGTGGCATTGCGCAAGAGGGATTTTTTTGCCCAAGAAGGGGCAGCGTAGACACTCCTTCTGGCGCAAGAGCCTCTTCTGCAAAAATGGCGGCTCATTAGGTATGCAAATGAGGCTCGGCGATATTCCACGCTTAGCTTTATTTGCATATTTCTGGTGCAAGAAGCCACCAGTGTAGACATAGCCCACCTGTGCATACTCTGCAGCTGGATATGGGTGAAGCTGTCTGGGCTCAGAGCTGCTCCTAAACTGGTTTGGTTCTGGTGTGGAGTTTATTCATCCCACTGAAAGGCAGCATATTGATTTTAATGAAGTGGCAAAGAATTGATATGTGGGAGGAAAATCTGTTTTGTTGGAAAAAAAGACCTTGGTGGGGGATGTTGAATACTTGATAAATTGTGGCAGGTGGTATTTTCAAGGAGGAAGAGAAGGAACTGTGTATGGACAGTGTTTTATTTCAGCAAAGCATTGTAAGGCATCCAAGGTTGCAGAAGCAATTGTCAAAAGTAATCTCAACTTCTCTCTCCCCGAATAGTGTCATACCAAAGGGTCCATATCAGCAAAGGGAGGAAAGGAGTGAAGCAGAGGAGGAAAGAGCCAGAGATGTAATGGCAGAGCTAATACATGGTATGCGATATTAATGTAAATGTTTTGCAAATTTATCCTCCGTATTTGAGGGGCCAGTGTTGGTAGAAATGGGAAGCTTCTGTTGCTGAAATCCAGTTGGTGCTACATCTCCCAAATAACCTGTAAAGAGATGAAAATTTGCATCAGAGTCTATGGTACTGCTACATTACCTGGAATTATTCTGCAAAGACGAATCACACGGAACAGATGACCAGGGCTACTAATAACTTTCTCTGCCTAGCTCAGCATTACAGCAGCAGTCTGTCCATTTGTGAGCTACAAGCCCTGTAGGAAAAGGAATTGTTTTTGCATAATGGATTCTGGTTATAAACTCTGAATACCTTCTCCTGACATGTCTGGAAGTTCTGTCACAAAGAAATCCCAGAAGAATGTATGTTCTGTCTGTTTCTTTGGGAAGTGCTTTCTTCTGTTGGCATAGTATTTTATGAAAAACATGGAGATTCCTGTGCACATGTCAGCTGCATTTTCCTTCTCTCTTAAGAGCTGAACTCTTGTTACAGACTCTAGCCTGCCAACCATACTTGGTGGATTATATTCTGGCTCTCACCTGGATGACCCAAACACACCTCAGTCCCAAATTTCCCCCCCCCCCCCCCCCCCATCTTTGAGGGTACAGATTATATTAAGTCCATTGTTCTGTTAAAGAGACTAATATGCACGTTACCCAGACACTTCAGTTTATGCACACTACAGTAGATAAAACAAATTTATTGACTATAGAGAGGTTTCAATTTTGAGAACAGGTCATGAGGCATAAAAGTCAGAAATGGTTACAAAAAAAGGATATTTAGTATTAACCAACTTAACAAAGTTTCAGGGGGTAGCCATGTTAGTCTGCAACTTTAAAAACAATGCGTAGTCCTGTGGCATCTTAGGCTATCACTGCAGTGCTATTTTGGGATACCAGAGTATCCCAAAATAGCTATCCTGCATCTTCACAGCAAGCCTGCTATTTTGGGCTCGCTATTCTGACATCACTATAAATCCCATTCCATGAGGAGTAAGGGACATTTCGGAATTACAGATTATTTCAAAATTTGGCGCTGTGTAGATTGCACCAAATTACAAAACAAAATATTTTGAAATAAGATCTAAATGAGACACACAATTTGAGACACACAAACTGCGTATCTTATTTCGAGCTATGGTGTAGTGTAGACGCACCCTTAGAGACTAACAAACTATATCAGTTTCAAGCAAAGTTTTTCAACCCCTTGCTATCAGCAATCATACTTACCAAACCCTGTAGGGTCAGGACCCCTTACAATCTCCTTTCTTCTCAAAGCCTTTCATTTCTTATCTTCTCTCCCTACTCCTTCCCGCAGAACACAAGCAGGTTTGGACTTGTTTCTTTTAAAACAGTTTTTCTTTGTCTTGTTACTGCCATTCTTTAGTTACTTCTGGAACTATCCATCTGTCACACATTACAAGTAATATATTGATTATGATCAAAACCTTCTTTTATTTTCTTCATAAAACGTAAGTTAACTCTTTAATAAATTCTTTACTTATAGGGAAGGGTATAGTGGCTCATCAACAGTGTTAAAAGAGTATGATATGTGGGAACATGGCTGTTTCATATTTTTGTTAGAGAGCAGTGAGGTTGCATCATCAAAGTTACATTATTTGTGGTACTTTACCAAAGAGTAGCATCTTTTTGAGGCTGCCACTTGTCTCTGCAAAGTTTGCTTCTACTTTTGCAGTCATAACTCTGAATACATAATACTTCCCACTGCCTCATAGTGGTGTCAATCAAGTAGTGAAGGTTCTGAGGTAGTAATGCACTTAAGGATGTGCTTAATTTTAACTATGTGAATAATCCAATTTAAACCAATGGGATTTACACACCTGCTTAAATTAAGCAAGTGCTTTACTAAATAGGGATGCAACTGCTCACAGGTTGAAGTTAGATATGTGATTAATTACCTTGCTAAATAAGGGCCTGAAAGCATGAATACTCTATTTGCACCTGCAATCATTTTGTAAATGCAAATTTTGCAGATGAGAATTCTGCCTGTAATTAAGGAGATCTCAGACATCTTAATGTATGCCCAATTACATCCTATGGACCTTTATGACACTAAGTCTTCACTTACTTTTTTCATTGTTTACATAACTACTCACTTATGTGTGGTAAATGGTCAACATAATTTAAAGAGATAAATTTATCCCTAGTGTAATGCTATAACCCTGATGGTTAGGCTCCTATTTTTGCTAAAGTTTTATTTATCAGTTATAATAATCACGTGTTTTCTAACAGAGTAACATCTCAAAAGGAAAATCTAATTCTTTCTTGTAGCAAGGATTATCTCCCTGACAGACAAGAACAAAAGATGAAAAGGCGAAAATAACCACTATTTTTAGCGATCTTTTATTTTATTCATAGATTGTATTTGTTTATGTTTGATTTGTTGGACTAATTTGGCATTCTATTATTAATTTGTCTGTCTTTTTAATTTATAATTTTTTCTACCAAAATCAGGAGAACTGAAACATGGCTTTGTTGCTAGGAAAAAAATTCACATATTTAAGACAACCTGTTATTACACTGCAGCAAACTGGAAGAGGGACTGCCTGAGGGGAATAGTGCTTTAGTAGGCCATGCTGCCTCTGCCATCTGAGACTGGACCAACTAAAGCGAGTGGGGCTTTGCCAATCTGCACTGCCAGTGCCATCTGAAAAGAGCTGCCTGAGGGAACCAAGGCTTTGTTGACTCAAGCTGTCTCCCCTCATAACAAAGAGGCTGCCTGAGGGAAATAGATGAGGGAACTAGCTCCTCCAGAGGCAGGCAAATCTTCTCCCTTTTCCTGCAGTTAGAACAGATTCAAATCAGCTGACCTACATTTCTGCTACAGCCAATGTCAGAGTGTAGCTGTAAATGCACTTCTGCTGGCCTACAAGGGCGCATATCAAAGTAAGGTGGCAATCAGCCCCAGAGTAGGTGTTTGGTTTGCAAAGGTAAAGATGTTTCTTTGGCACAAAACAAAAAGAGAGTGTTTACACAAACTTGAAAGAGGGTAAGCTGCAGCACAGCTGTGTAGGCAAGCATTAGTGTTCTAAATATCATGCAGGTCTACAGTAAAGAAATCTGAACTCTTGATGGTCTTGATTTTAATAAACAATGCTGTCATGCAATATCTCAGACCAAGATGTGACTCTTTTAACAACATCTGCAGTCTCTTGCATCCTCTCATGTCCCTTGGGGTTTGCCTTCCCTAGCCCACTAGTTCGGCACTTCTGCAAGCGGCACCAATCTAGTACATTTGGCAAAGACGCGCAATGTCAATGGAAGTGCGCCCTCCCATGGATGTGATTAAGCCACTTCAATAAGAGGCAGAAGCTAAGTAGGCAGGAGAGTGTAGTGAGGTGTAGACACCATGTGAAGTGAAAGTAAGTTGCGTCACTCACGGGGGTGAATTTTTTCATATCCCGGAGCAACGTAACTTACGTCAGCTTAAGCAGTAGTGTAGACCTGGCCTGAGAGTATGGCATGTACAGTTCACAAACAATACTTGTCAAGTGCCCTGCCCACCTGGCTACTCTCTCACCATCCCTACAATTATGATGCTATGGCTAGTTCTCAAAATGCCTCTTGTAGTGAGGCTGTGGCCTCCCTCCAGACTGGAGAGCGAAGGGGCACTCCACTCCACTGGGCAGGCAGAGCCAAACCTGTCCCACCCTCCTCACCAGAAGTACCAGGGTGAGGTAGGAAGTATAAAAGGAAGGCTTTGCAGCTCAACTGGGAGAAGTCAGTGGAGGAGACAGTTGCCTCAGCCCCGTGGTGGCAATGGGGAGCTGAACCTGTGCTAGAGCATATTGATTGTGTCTGTTTGCTGGCTGCCCTCTGCTCCTCCGTGCCCCCAAGCCCAGGCTTAAGCCTACTTCCTGCTCTGCCCACCGAAAGGACTGGAGCTTATTGACGTGGCATACCTGTTGGCTGCCTGGGCAGGGAGGCTTAGGCCACAGCTTGCTGCAAACCCCAGTCCTGCCTGAAGGCTAGGGCCCTAGACTGTTAATTGCTGTCAGCCCTATTCCGGGGCTATGCACTAGTGATTATGCAGAGCATTGCCCCTACTCAGAGATGGGGACAAGGGCCCTGGACAACTGCTGTGTGTCAGACAGGCCCAAAGATCTAGCCTGCTTATGGCTTGGCCTCTCCAGTGCGACATGAGGCTGAGGATTAAACCCCACTACAGCAAGACAGAATGGCTTCCCACTGGAGCACAACACTTTCTTGTTAAACATTTATGTAATTTAATACAAACATTTCTGTTGTTATTTGGCTTAGTGAACTCCCTCTCCCTGCTCCCCCCCAACTCAGAAGCCCTACATTTTCTGCCTTAAAATGACAAATGTTCCTTTAATGGACCAGTGTTACAAATGACAGCAGTCTTTCTTAACCTTTACCTATGCAAATGCTAAAGATTATACCTGCACCTTAACGTGGGGAGGTAACGTAGTAACAACTGTTAGGGAGTGTTTACACTAAGTAAAAATGTGCTGCACAGTTCAGCAGTCCATCACTCTTCAGCAAAGCACTAAATCACACACCTAATTTTAAACACATGCCTAATTCTTCTTGATTTGAATGGAATTTAAGCAAGTGCTTAAATGCTTTCCTGATCTAGCACCTTAGCGCAAAATTCACCACTGTACAGAGCCTTTGCCCCACTCAAGTCTTGTTCAGCTCCAATTTAAAGGTCTGCATTACACTTAAGTAATGTACCAAACTTCTGCAGGCCCTCATCCTTAGAGTGCAATCCAACTGTCATTGAAACGAAAGTCAGTGGAAGGATTGATTTTAATGGAAGTAGATCAAGCTCTTGGGCTTGTCCTGGAAGGGTTAAGCTCTCAACTCCCAATGACATCAATAAGTGAAGGAGAGAGGTAACATCTTGGGTGGTGCCTCCATACAAAGAAATGATTGAAAAAGTACATTTCATATTTACAAAAACAACAAGGAGCCTGGAGACATTTCTTTCAGTTTAACAATCTAAGGCAGGGCGACTCAACTTTGGAAGCCCCAGGGGCCACAATGATACTCTCAGCAAATGCCAAAGGCCGCAACTTAAGTGTGGTAACATATTCATGCAAATATATATGCAAATATATGCAAATAGATTCTTTCACACTAACGGGCACGAATACAAATAGTAAGCCTTAAGCCATGATGCCAGACCCAAACGTGGCCAGTGTAAGCCAATCAGCATCTCTCAGGCTCTACCCAGAAGGCTAAGCAGCCAGCACTTCCCACAATGCCCTGGTGCTGCTGGCACCTCGTCCCTGGGGGCTAGAAACACCGACACTGTGTACCTCTCTGTTCCAGCCAACCCGTCCACTTGCATCTTTCAGTGCTCACCCTGTCTGCGAGACGCCTCACCATTGTGGATCATGTTCCCAGTGGAGGCCATGTTCAAAGGATCCCACCCATGGGCTGCGTGTTGAGCCCTGTGTAAACCCAAACCACAGGCCGCAAACAAACAGGCCGTGGGCCGCATGCGGCCTATGGGCCATGTGTTGAGGAGCCCTGATCTAAGCACTATTGACATTTCATGAAGGAAATTGGAATCACAGGTGCTCAGCACCTCTCCACAAAAAAGTCTGTAGTCTAGATATTGAAACAATTAAAAGCTGTAGTCTGTGCCCATAAAATATAATTAGGTTTCTTTCTGACATAGTCTGATGTTAGTCCACCAGAGGCTGGTGTAATGCTGTCATTCTTGTGTCTTCCTGTCTTTTACAATCTCAAAAGGGACAAAATCAGAGAGAATGGGAATGACTTAACAAAAACAAACTGTGCAGACATAAATAATGATCATCAACAGAGCAACTGATAAAGGAGACAATTGACCTGCTCCATAACAATTCATGTTAGTGGTTTGTTGAGTCTTCTTTTGAACCCTTTCACAATAAAATATTTGAAACACAAGGGAGCTACTTCATTTGTTGCTATTTTCTGCTTACAGTTGAAACATGAATTCCTGACAGGAACTGAGAAATGTATTGAAACAAAGTTGTTTCAAGTCAATAAAATCCCAAAATCAAAATATTTAAAAAGCTGCCATAATTAGATTTGCAGTACAAATTAGATTTGCAGTACCTAAATTAATGTTGCCCTTTCAATTGGCTAAAGTACTTTTCCTCTTCTAAGCTGTTTTGTAATGTTACTATGCATAGTTAAAAAATTGCCATGTTCCAACCCAGAGGTGGCTGCATCTCAGTGGTGAGCCAGCATGTATCCGTTTCTAACGGCACGTGCCATCGCTGAGACGGGAGGACTATCAAGGAGAGTCTCAAGGATCATTCCCCGTTTTCACACGCCACGCGCATGAAATGTTCAGAACGTCTCGTCGATTTCACGTTCCCCGTTAGGTCTTTGGCCCAATCTATATTCAATTTCTGTGTGATTGGCAC